AAATAATTTCACAGTAAATGATACAACATATTTCGATGTAATTTATTTATTTAAAGTTAAAAGCAGCACCTAATAATAACTTAGCCATTAAAAGATAACTTGACAAATCTTTTTACTATTGCACAAAGTTCCAAACTAACAAAACACTACCAGTCGTATACGACATAAGGCTAGATATCTTGGGAATGTATTTATAAACGTGGTACATTCGTATCTCAAGACTCTCAATTTATTATTAATTTTCTAAATCCTATTGCCTCTCTTAGTAAATTTGCAAACATAATACACATCAAATCAATAAAAATTTACTACAAGCAAAATATTGTCTTTGGTTACCATGAACGATTTTACATAACGAAAACTAAAAGTATAGTTCAATTTTAAAATACTGAATTAATATCAAAACTACTATCTAAGTTACTTTATTTTACTATATAGTTTTATATTGATTTGATGTGCTTAGAACTATCTACCACGAGAACAAACATTTAAACCTCCTGTATTATTACGTATTTCAGTTAAATTTATGTTGATATTATTGCTACGTCTATAATTATCACTTTAACTGGTGACACACCAGTGTCTTACATAAGAATACTAAATAAAAATAAATATATCAAAAGTTGTGTATTACAGGAACATTTTTAATACTGATGATATTAGACATTCAGAAACAATAACTTATTTATAAGTTACAACAATAAAAAAATAATCCTTTTCATATTCCACACGTTTATGCATAAAATAAAAATACTATGAATTTCTATTAATATTTGTAGTTTATTATTAATTAGTTAAACTAAATGATAATTAGATTTGAGATTAGATTTGTCTGTGAACATTTTTAAATAAACACATTTGCAATTTCTTTTAAATGCAAAAATAAACCATTCAACTATTTATATAGTATTAGAGTACGTGAAGTATTTTTATATTTAATAAATAGTGAGAACCACAACTATAAAAATCGAAATCCTTTATATACACCCAAGCTGACAGCCGTTTTCAAAATACAAGTTTTGAAAAATTAAACAGATTATTTTGTTTTTGGTTATGTTGTAAACAAAATTATAAAAATTAAACTTTTTTTTTCGCTGCTTCACTTAAATATTCAAGACATCATTATTTATCTCCCTGGGATTCTAAAATTGTGCCGGGGATGATAAACTTGTTACATTTTACTCAACATTATTTTTTACAGAAGATCAATTATTGTCTCAATTGGCGGCTCCATCAATGATTACTTTCTTCGGTAAATTCATTATCAGTCCTCTGATTGGAAAGGATATAATAATGTGAAATTTAACGCGCAACGGTATATGGGGGAAAGTGGGGCATACTGGGGGTACCGTGGAAAAGCGGTGTTTTTCTCTTTTGCATAAATGCTTATACATCCGACAACAGCGTATCTCTCAATCGAAATATACGTAGATATATGGTTAGAACCTACAAAAGAAAAACCAAATTACATTCCTGGAGTGAGGAATCGATGACGAAAGCAGTCTCCAGCGTAATATCGAATCAAATGGGGTACAAAAAAGCAACGCAAACCGTTGAAGTTCCACACATCACGCTTAAAAGGCAAGGCAAACCTACATCGTTCTACTTCTGTAGAAAAAAAGTTGGGTCGTTATAGATAACTGTTTTCACCCCCCAAACAGGAGAGTGAATTGAAGGCTTTATATTACACTTATGGAGGGGCGATTTTATGGACTAAACCCTTGTGACCTAACTTTTCACTTAGTTTTAAATTTAATGTAAAGAATGGCATGACTGGTGTTGATTGGCAGCAAAGCTTTTTAAAAAGACATAAAGATATAAGCCTTTAGGAAATCTGAAGCCACATCATCTACACGAAAAAAGGATTTAATAAAGTTGCTGTTGAGAAGTTTTTTTAATCTGTTGGAATCAACTATTTACAAATATGAGCATATCTACAATGTCGATACAACGGGGTTGTCGACGATTCCAAAAAACCACTCTGAAGATATTAGCTGCAACTGGAAAAAGCGAGATATAAGTTTTGACTTCCGCAGAGCGAGGGAAAATTATGACGACGGTCATATCTTTTAGTGTTGTGGGAGACTACATGCCCCTGATGTTTATTTTTTCACTTAATCGTATGAAAACTGAATTAACGGACGCAGCAGCAACTGGATCTTGGGGTGAATGTCATGACTCGGGGTGTATAGTTAAATAAGTGATTTATTTCTGTTGTGGTTGAAACGTTTTAAGGAATGGTCTAAAAAGTGCTTTTTTTGTTAGACGGGTGTGCTTTCCACGTAAAGAGTGATTGATTTCTCCCGTGAAAATGATATTGTACTACCATACTTCCCCCCACATTGCACCAATCGTTTTAGGCGTTCAGACGTGGGTTTCATGAAGCCTCTAAGCACGTATTATAGTAACGAAGTAAAGAAATGGCTGCGGTGCTATTCTGGGCGTGTAGTGATCCAATTCCAGATTTCAAGTTTATTTAGTCAGACCTTTATAAGCACAGTTAGCATGGCAACTCACATACATTCGTTTAGAGTTGGAATCTGGCTGATGGATCGACACATTTTAACAGACGCTGATTTTGCTTCAGCTGAAACGACTGATTATCAGCCGGATTTGTCAGTATCTGCACAGCCGTCTAACCCCCAACCGTAAGAGACCCCTCAGCCTTAAACCAATGTAACACATTCGTCAAAAATAGTATCTGAGGAAACTATCAAAAATTGGGAAATCAATGCGGAAGAAGAACAAACACGAGAAGAAAAAACGCCTGAAAAAAAAACATTGGTAAAAGGCCTGATTGTTCATGGATGACTAACAGCGAAACAATTCGTTCGTAACATCACCGAACGATATCATGGTCATACCAAAAGAACTCGAGTAACAAGACGTGCCACGAAATGAAGAGGAAAAACCGCTGTAATTACTGAATTACCTTACATTTTGAATGATCTTTTGGAGTAAGAACGAAACAAAGAAAATCCGGCAAAGAACAAGAAGGCCACCAAAAAAATCTTAATCAACTCTAAAACAAATCAAACTAAGAGTAAAAACATACAAAAAACAAAGAAAGGAAGAAGAAAAAGAAAACTCTGAGGATTAGGATGCACAGTGCATCTATTGTGGTTACTTTTGGTTGTAGTCCGATGAAGGATGGCTAAAATACATCCGACAATGGACAGGACTAAATTTTAAATAGGATACAGGAAAATGTTTGCAATAGTAAAAGCCAACCTACATTAAAGAGAAGGAAATTTAAGAAGAAGTGTGGCAGATGATAATGGACAGTTTAACGTTTGTAGAATTCGGGTAGAATTTAGTTTGAAATATTTAGTACAGAATTTAGTTTGATGTTTACCCAGATTGAGACACTAACGAATAATTTTAATTAAAAATCCTTTATAAAAGGTATATTTATTCAAAAGGATCCTTTTGGCTAAATCACAAAACGTTTTCAGAACAAATATTCCATCTTCAGTACTGCTACTAGGTATTTAGACAAGATAGTAAGCTATCTAGTTGCTACCTAAGGCCTGTTTAGAGTACGTCTCCAGACCAGTAACTCTCGTTGTGAATTTACGTTGCTATGAAGTGAATCTACATAAAATTTATTATTCCTTAAAAAATTATCAACAATCATGTAATCTATTACCAATTAAATAACATTTAAGGCACCATTGCCGTCTAGAATGCTTAAAACTGTCACAATTTCAACAATTCTTTTGTATCTTATCTATTATATGGCAATCAAACTTTGTTTATATTATACAATGCATTTTGTTTGTTTTGGTTTTCTCTATGATGGTTTACCAAAATTTGATCAAAAATAATAATATTTTTGTGATTTTTTTCAAATGTCAGCCATTTTGTTGTTACAAGAATTTTTTTTTAGTAAACTATCACAGAACTGCACTTCTTTTTTAAAACCCTTCCCCAATTTTATTCCCCAATTTTACGAAAAATTTTTGGCGCCATCTTTAAAATAAAGGAACAATAGAAAAAAAAACGAGAATTTTTTTGTAATCTTCAAAAGTTTTATAATAATAGAAAAGAAGTCTAACTGACATATATAGTAAATAGGATGCATAAAAAAAATGTTGAAAATTTGCCATTGCTTAGCATTCTAGACGGTAATAGTAAACATGTTTACCTAGTGAACTAAAGATAGAATAGCACTGAAGCACTGAATATGGAACATTTATTTGTCTGATTTAGCCAGAAAGGGTTCTTTTAAATAAATATACCTATTATAAGGGATTTTTTACTAATTTTTTTCCTTATGGGCTCTAACGAATATTTTAGGTTATATTATTGTACCAGTGGCACAGCAAACTTTTTTCAATTTATTGTCTTCATTATTAAAGGTAAAGTAAATTAAATCACAAGGGTTTGCATTATAAAGGCACCGACAATGATAACATGCTCATCATTTACCGATCTTTAAAAACAAAGCAACCAGCATAGTGATTATATGGATGAAACTATTTTTTTTTACTTATAGAAAAACTACAGTAGTTTGAGCATGAAATCAGATGTTACATTGCATTTAATACAGTAAGAAAGTGTTACTAAACTGGAAGAAACGTGTTTTTTAAAGAAACGCGCATTATTACATGGAAGATTGGAGGAAGAATAGGGAAAAGCAGAAGGCAGATTTCATGGTTGAACTTAATACAATAAGCATTTAAAAACTTTTGAAAACGGCTAAGGATGAACACAGATTTCACTTATGAAGGGGCGCTGACAAATAAATACGTACTCTAATGTTATCTAAAATGTTAATGTTATATAAATTTTTAAATATTTTAAATATGCTTTTCGTTATAAGATAATATTTTTTATCAGTAAATGAGGTTAATTTTATCAGTTACTCAGTACAAAATTTTATTGCAAAATTTATTTTGCAAATTGATAAGAAAACATGTTACCACTTAACAGGTAGACAGTAAGAGATTCGTAAATCATTATAATTGATACTATAATTTACTTATGATATTGACCTTTTAAAATTTAATTTTAATATGAATAAAAACTTTTTTTAAATCATAAGTAAATGAAAATGAAACAAGCTGTTCTTAAATCAAATCTCATCAGTATGTTTTACGAAAACTTCCATGTTACTAGTAATAATATAATATGAAAATGACTGACCAAACTTTAGAGTAACATGGCAATAGCTGTATTCACATAACCTGTAAAATTTGGCTAGCTTCAAATGCTGTGCCTGGTAAAAGAATTACAGGGCTTGACACATGTCCCGCTTCTACACAAACCATATTTGGATACTCATCATCTCCGAAATCTGACATGTCCTTAGCTTGATCTATCCATGGATTCCAAATCACGGTATCAGGAAAATTATATTTTTGAATGCGCATCTTCCGACCCGATACAACATTGGTTATTATATGTTCTTGTGGAGTATTTTGGTAAATCCTATCAGTCCATTCTCCAATTGTTACAACATCACGAGCCTGAAAACAATATTGTTTAATTTTTTATGGGACAACTGACACAAACACAAAACATTTAAAAAATATGCAATAGTCAATACAAAATAGCATTAAATAGAATAATCCAAGTAAATCCAAGAGAATCGTTACTTTTATCACCACCAAACAGTTGTTTAAAAATATTGCAAGTAAATGCTCGATCTTTGACAAATAAGTTACTCAAACTGGAAGTGTTAACAGTGCAAGGAACACCTGATATAATTTGTCTATCAGAACATTGTTGTACTGAAAAAAACATCCAATTTATGGCGCGGAATGGATACAAAATCGCCTCTTATTTTTGTCGAAAGTGCCATATCCATCATCTAAATTAAAGCTAATATTTAATTCAAAACATTAGATGTCTCTTTTCAACTTTAGTGAAGAAATGGTGTGAGTGCTATGCGATTTCTCTGTTTATAGCCAATAGGAAAATTTGTGTTATTAGTGTTTATCGTTCAGAGTTTTCTGTGTAAATTACATAATATATTGGAGCTATGCAGTAAGTCATATCATGATATTTATATTTGTGGGGATCTAAACATTGATTATCTTGTCATGTCTAATAATAAGCAATCTTTTAACGAGTTTTTAGTAAGTTATAATCTGAGAGTTACATCTGAGATTCCTACAAAAGTTTTCGTAGATAAAGTGGGTAAAACATCATCTACAAAATTGGACTACATATTGACAAATATCGAACCACGTCTTTATAAATCAAATGTTTTCGAGGGGCACTTCAGTGACCATAAAGTATTTTCACTTAGTGTAAATTTGCAAGCCAATAAAGTATCGAAAAAAGATAAAAAATCCATTAGTTAAAAGGATATGTCAGATGAAAATATGTTGATGTTTAAAGCAGGGATTTCTTCTACAGTTTTTGATGAAGTTTATTCACAATTGAATGCTGAATATGCCACAAATTCATTTGTTAGCATTTTAGCTTACAATCTAAATTTATATTGCCCAATAAAAACACGGTATAAAGCACACAAAATAAATAAGGCTACATGGGTAACAAATGAGGTAAGACACACTAGTGAAAAACTAAAAAATCTACTCTGGATAGCAAAAAATATAGGGAGTCTTGAGTCTCAAGATACCTATAAAGAGGCAAATAAAGATCATAATTCTCTATTAATACTAAAAAAAATTACATAGTGACTTAATTAATAAATCTTACAATATACCAAAAACAATTTGCAATTTAGTAAACAATGAAACCGGTAGGCAAACGAACAGGTCTGATATTCTACATTCTACATTCATGATAATAAAATTATTACCAAGTCTTGTGATATTGCTAATTCGTTTGCCTCATATTTTGCTACAATTACAGAATACAATCTTCAAACTCATTTTGGCACATCGTTGCCTTCTTCTTGTACTACCTCAAAAATATGTAACAAAACATTTTTCTTTTTACCCGTAACTCCAATTGAAATAAAAAATACAATCGATCAACTAAAAAATAAGCCTAGTACTGGTATTGATAACATATCTGTAAAAATAATAAAACTGCTGGTATTGATAACATATCTGTAAAAATAATAAAACTGATAAGTGAACATATATCGATTCCTTTAACCCATGTAGTAGTTAATCTCTCAATAACAACCAGCCAATTTCCATCCATATTTAAAATGACAAAAGTTATTCCAATCTTCAAAAATAATGACCCTCATGATATTTCAAATTATAGACCAGTATCTATCCTTAGCATAATTTCCAAAGTCATATAGAAGGTTGTATGCAACAGAATGTTAAATTTTATAGAAGAATACAATTTATTAACTCCAAACCAACACGGCTTTAGATAAAAAAAAATCAACACTCACGGCTGCATGCAGCTTCTTTGAGCGTATTTATGATGAATTAGATAGTAGAAACCACGTCGCATGACTATTTTTTGATCTATCGCGAGCTTTTGACTGCTTAGACATAACATTTATTCGCAATAAATGATATAACATTGGTTTTAGAGGGTAATAAATTTCTTAAGTGACAGGAAGACTGTTGTTAAAATTAAAGGCAGTGGAGACTTAGCTTGCCAATAACTTTCATCATGTGGCAATTACTTGTGATCTTAGTTTTATTGGTAATGTTAAACAAGTAGATTATAATACTACATATTTTGACTATCATAATGCAAATTTTGTAGGTCTAAATAATTATTTTTATTCAGTTGACTGGAATATTGTTTTTGATAATTAAAATATTAATATCTCAGTAAATAATTTCTATGAAATTCTTTCTGAAGCAATATCACTTTTTGTTCCAAAAAAAACATATAAACCTTCCAAATTTCCTCTTTGGTTTTATCCAGATTAAAAAAAAAAAACTTGTTATTTCAAAAAAAAACTGCTCATGCTAGATTTTAACATACTCAGCAGTTGATTATACCTTATTTTCAGATCTTATTCTACTTATAGAAAAACTACAGTAGTTTGAGCATGAAATCAGATGTTACATTGCATTTAATACAGTAAGAAAGTGTTACTAAACTGGAAGAAACGTGTTTTTTAAAGAAACGCACATTATTACATGGAAGATTGGAGGAAAAATGGGGAAAAGCAGAAGGCAGATTTCATGGTTGAACTTAATACAATAAGCATTTAAAAAATTTGTGAAAACGGCTAAGGATGAACACAGATTTCACTTATGAAGGGGCGCTGACAAATAAATACGTACTCTAATGTTATCTAAAATGTTAATGTTATATAAATTTTTAAATATTTTAAATATGCTTTTCGTTATAAGATAATATTTTTTATCAGTAAATGAGGTTAATTTTATCAGTTACTCAGTATAAAATTTTATTGCAAAATTTATTTTGCAAATTGATAAGAAAACATGTTACCACTTAATAGGTAGACAGTAAGAGATTCGTAAATCATTATAATTGAAACTTACTTATGATATTGACCTTTTAAAATTTAATTTTAATATGAATAAAAACTTTTTTTTAAATCATAAGTAAATGATAATGAAACAGGTTGTTCTTAAATCAAATCTCATCAGTATGTTTTACGAAAACTTCCATGTTACTAATAATAATATAATATGAAAATGACTGACCAAACTTTAGAGTAACATGGCAATAGCTGTATTCACATAACCTGTAAAATTTGGCTAGCTTCAAATGCTGTGCCTGGTAAAAAAATTACAGGGCTTGACACATGTCCCGCTTCTACACAAACCATATTTGGATACTTATCATCTCCGAAATCTGACATGTCCTTAGCTTGATCTATCCATGGATTCCAAATCACGGTATTCGGAAAATTATATTTTTGAATGCGCATCTTCCGACCCGATACAACATTGGTTATTAATATAAAAGGCAAATATCGAGCACAGTATTAATTTAATCTTGCCCAAGTACTTTCGATCCCTAGATCATCTTCAGGAGCATTTCGTCAATTGCGGCCTATCCGATATTCCCATTGACGAAATGCCCCTGCAGATGATCTAGGGATCGAAAGTACATGGGCAAGATTAAATTAATACTGTGTTCGATATTTGCCTTTTATATTATCAAAGTTCATTTATTCGAGCATTGAACCTATTATCAATATCAAATTTAGACTATAAACAGCGAGAAAAAGTATGTGTTGGTGAAGAGCTGTCAGGAGAAATTGGAATTAGATGTGGAGGGAGACAGGGATGTGTACTGTCGCCAATTCTTTTTAATGATCCGAAGAGATCTTGAAAAACGCTCTTGAGGGTGAAACAGCTAGAATAAAGGTAAATGGAGTTCCCATTAACAAAATTAGATATACAATCGACACTGTGATCTTAGCCGAAAATATTGAATATCTTCAGAGACTGGTGACGAGAATAGCGGAGTATGGAAAAGAGTTTGGTCTAACAATGAATGTAAAGAAGACGAAATTTATAAGCATATCGAAAACTCAAAGAAATAACTAGAAGCTTCTAATGAACGGAACCAACGTCTAACAAGTGGACAAATATGCATATCTGGGAACAATAATTAACTGGGAATGATTACATTCAGGAGATCAAAACCAGAATAGAAAAGGCTAGAGCAAATTTCAACAAAATAAGAAGAGTGCTATGTACAAAGGATTTCAAATTGAAACTTACGAGTTAGGTTGGCGAGGTGCTATGTTTTTTCGACTTTATTTCATGGAATGGAATCTTGGACTTTGAATGCAACATCAATGAAAAAATTGAAATCATTCGAGCTGTGGGTGTATAGAAGAATTCTGAAAATATCGTGGACAGAACACGTCACAAACACAGAGGTTCTGAGAAGGATGAATAAAGAAATAGAAATTTTAAAACAATTAAAACAAGAAAATTGTAATATCTTGGACATATTACATGTGGAGAGAAATACACCTTGCTCCATCTGATTAGGCAGGGAACCTGAGAGAGACTGGTACAGATGTACATCAAATGGACTTTTAAGAGCAGCCGTCTCAAAAGTCTGAATAGCTATGATGATGGCCGATCTCTGCCGGGAGATGGCACTTGAAGAAGATGTATCATCTTTACCTCATTTTAGTTAGACTCCTTTGTCCTGTCGTACTCTTATAGTATTCTGCTCTACTCCCACACATTTCATCAAACTTAGCACTAAATGCCATATTGTCACTCTGAACACTAATAATAAAAAAATAAACAAACTCAACATCACATAAGTTTCATAAATTATCTTTTCGCGACACATGATATCATAAGATACTTAGATAAAAAATTTTACACAATAAAACTGTAAAAAATTAAAATTAATTGTAAAAGTATAAAAGCCACACATTAATTTTTTGGAGGACTTTATATACAGAATATATATAAAAACATATTGATAATTTAAATATAAACAAATAGTAAATATTTACCTCTTGATATATTGCTCCTTCCCTGGTTTTATCCATAAAGGTGCAGCCTTGTAAGCCAGTAATTTGGCAACGTCGTACATCAGGAACTTTAAAATATGTGTGCAGTAACATGTTAAAACTGAATGATAATTCCTTACTAGGATTATATACAGCAATATTAAAATGTAACTCCTTTTCACGAAGTATCAGCCTATATGTCAGTCTGAACCTGAAAGCATCGAATCAAAGTATTACCAAGTAATGTAATACAAAAATAAAGCATAAATGTTGCTTTCAAATATATAATACATTTTATATATAAATTCGTTGATTGGGTTCTACTATATCTAACAAGGCCAGAAGAAACAAAGATTGGTTTGACGAGAATGTAGATCTATTAGCCAACAAAAAATGGAAACACATAAGAGACTTAGGCAGAGCAGAATAAGATTAGCTCTGAAATACTATGAAAACCTTTAGACAGCAAGAAAAAATGGCATATTAATTTTGGTCCCCACACAAATATTAAGTTTTTAATAAAATAATCTTTAACAATGAATTCAAAGTTTATTAAATTAAACCATATATTTCAAAGATATAATTTTTCTTGTGATAATTTAATGTTTTGTACAAAAATTTATTAGTAAAATAATTTTTTTTTAGAACCACAGCTTTTACAATAATACAACTCGACTCGTCCAATGAAGACTGTACTAACTCAATTTTTGGCGTTTTTGAGTTACAACCCCGAAGAAGTAGATTACCGTGATATCTTTCAACGAATAAAGTTCTAAGTTAATTTGACCATGTTTAGGCAACCAATTTTGCACTTCATTATTGTACTATCTTGTATATCTATACATTTTCCAACGAAAACTATCCTATCTTAAGTTAGTATAGTCTTCCTCGGCATTCCCAAAGGAAGCGCCGTCTCGTGAGTTAATACAGTTTTCGTATTTTGAGGTTAAGTAAAGTACGCCGGTGGTACGCCTACATGACCAACGGTCTTTTGTTTTCAGAAACAGAACGAACGATTACAGTTAACGAAAATTTTGAAGTTGATACTGAAGACCCTTTTCATGCAAGCTCACATAGTGACCCAGATTATTTACCTTCAGAAGATGATAACAAGAAAATTTCATATGATGATACGAAGGAAAATGAGGAACAAATAAGTAAGTGTAAAAAGAACAGAAATGAAACTCATAGACGCCAATGGAAAATTAATCATTGATACCCAAGAGATGAAAGACAAATGGAGAATATATTTGGAGACACTTTTTCAAGATCGAAGAACGGATTATAGGCATCCATTTTCAGAGAGGATGACGGGCCCGGACATACTTAAATCCGAGGTAGAAGAAGCAATAAAACGGATGAAAAGCAGGAAAGCTGTAGGGCCTGATAATATCGAAGCTGAATTTTTAAAACTCTTGGAGGAAGAAGGAATAAATTGGATCACGGCTGTCTTCAATAAAATATACAATACAGGAATCATCCCTGATAAATGGCTAGAATCAGAATTCATAGCGATACCTAAAAAACAGGGGGCTAAAAAGTGCGAAGACTATCGAACAATCAGTCTAATGAGCCAAATGTTGAAACTGTTTCTTAGAGTCATCCATGGAAGAATTTATAAGAAGTGCGAGGAACAAATACCGGACAGACAGTTCGGCTTCATTAACGCAGTGGGTACCAGAGAGGCACTTTTCGGAGTACAGGTACTGATTCAAAGATGCAGGGACGTTAACTGCGACGTATACGCGTGCTTGATCGACTATGAAAAGGCATTTGACAGAGTTCAACATCAAAAGATGATAAACATTTTAAAAGAGGCAGACCTGGATGACAAAGACCTTAGAATAATTTCAGAACTCTACTGGAATCAGACCGCATACATGAAAATTAACGGAGAAGAAACAGATCACATAAAAATACTACGTGGAGTTAGACAGGGATGTATCCTATCGCCGTTGATATTTAATATGTACTCAGAGAAAATCTTTAACGAGGCTCTTTACGGAATAGACGAAGGCATCCTTCTAAATGGTGAAAGAGTAAACAATGTTAGATATGCCGACGACACCATGGTGATAGCAGATAGATTAGAGGGACTTCAGAGGCTAATGGACAGAATAAACGAGTACAGTCAGCAGTACGGACTAAACATTAATACCCACAAAATGAAACAAATGATTATCAGCAAGGAATATAAACGGGGCTCATCTATACATTAATGAGACGCAGATAGAGCGAGTAAAACAGTATTGCTACCTGGAAACTATTATAAACGAACAGTGGAGCAATGTACAGGAAATAAGGTGCCGCATAGGAAATGCAAGAACGGTCTTTAACAAAATGAGCGCCATCTTCAAAAGTCACAACATATCCCTTAATACAAAAATGAGACATTTGAGATGCTATGTTTTCTGTGTTGTTGTACGGGGCGGAGGCATGGACGCTTGCAGACACCACTATTAAAAAACTTGAAGCATTTGAGATGTGGCTTTATAGAAGAATGCTGAGAATATCATGGACAGCAAGGATCACGAACAAGGAAGTTCTAGGAAAAATGAAGAAGGAACCAGAGATTGTGTTTACGATCAAACGCATAAAATTGCAATATCTGGGACACGTTATGAGAAATCAGCACCGTTACTCCCTGCTACAGTCCATATTGCAAGGTAAAGTCAAAGGTAAGCGAGGACCCGATAGAAGGAGAATATCATGGATGCGGAATTTAAGAAAATGGTTTAAGAAAACCTCAACGGAGCTGTTTCGAACCGCAGCGAGCAAGGTTATGATTGCCAATATGATTTCCAACATCCGAAACGGATAGGAACCAGAAGAAGAAGAAAAAAGAACAGGAACAGTAATACTAGAGTTAAAGTGGGTAGAAAACGAGAAAGAAAAGAAGAATGGATTGATGTAAAATCTAAAACTGGTCTAAATCGTGGGTTGGAACATACAAATCGACAGTGAAAACTGGTAAAGGCAAGAAAAATAGGCGAACCTTGCCAACAAACATGCAGACTTAAGTATAACACAAAAATGAATCAAGAAATGAGACAGAAGATTTTTACAGACTTTTGGAACTTGCAAGATCATCATACAAGGCAATGGGACTTTATTGTATAGGATGTGACACAGATAGAGAAAAAACAAAGTACAATTTCTGCTATTGTTCTGAAGCTATTTTCTTGTGGCATTGTAAATTAATTACTATTTATAACTGGGAATAAGCCACAATTAAAGATAAAAATACGTTTATTGACGTTTCAATTTCCAATTCGGAAATCGTTCTCAAAATACAAACAGTAAATTGAACAAATTTTGTTTTTTGTTACCATAGTGAAAAAATTCTTCTAATAATTTAATTTTATCTGGCTCATTTATATTGACAATTCAGACATACATTATGCATTTTAAAGTAGACGACTTTAAAATGATATTGCCAATATTGTTGAGTTGCGCTCCTGGGACGACTTTACTTATAAGATAGTTCATTCGATTATATGAAATCAACTTTAACTTGAGAATATCCGTCAGAAAAAATCATAGCATGTAATTCGTTTTTAAAAAGACAAATACATGACATGATGACAGTAAAATTCTCCTGTTAGTGATTCCATAGTAAATTATGAGGGAAAAACCAGGAAAAAAAACCTCATAATGCTATCCCGACATTGTAAGTATTTGTTTGTGAATTTAGTTTACCTTCAACAAACATCAACAATTCTGATTTTATATGTTACGTTATTTAAAAAACATAAATGATGTATCCTCTATATGTTACTGACTTACTAATACTGGTATTTTCTTATTAATTAATATTGAAAGAGGAAGTTATTAACAGGAGAATTTTACTGTCATCATGTCATGTATTTGTCTTTTTAAAAACGAATTACATGCTATGATTTTTTCTGACGGATATTCTCAAGTTAAAGTTGATTTCATGTAATCGAATGAACTATCTTATAAGTAAAGTCGTCCCAGGAGCGCAACTCAACAATATTGGCAATATCATTTTAAAGTCGTCTACTTTAAAATGCATAATGTATGTCTGAATTGTCAATATAAATGAGCCAGATAAAATTAAATTATTAGAAGAATTTTTTCACTATGTAACAAAAAACAAAATTTGTTTAATTTACTGTTTGTATTTTGAGAACGATTTCCGAATTGGAAATTGAAACGTCAATAAACGTATTTTTATCTTTAATTGTGGCTTATTCCCAGTTATAAATAGTAACTATTTCTGCTGGTGTACACTCTCGTAGGAATTTTTCTCAGCAATATCATTTTCAGCTCGGCAGTGAACAAAGCCAAGTTTGTAAAAATATGTTTTTAAAAACTCTTGGTGTTTCAAAAACATGGATAAATCCAGCATTGACTCAAAGAAAGGAAACTGGAGTTTTACAATCAGATCAATGTGAAAAACATAAAGTTCGACTACACAGACTTACTCCAGATATTGCAGAAAGTATGAGAAAGCATATACAATTATTTCCTTTGGTACCCTCACATTATATTTGGAAGGATTCTAAGAGTATGTAGAGGAAAGTTTAAGCATTCAAAAAATGTATAAATTATATACAGAATTTTATGGTGATGAAAACATTATTGGACAACTTGCTATGCATCGCCAGTATAGAGACATCTTTATTACTGAATTTAATATCAGTTTCTTTAGACCAAAGAAAAATCAGTGCGATGTCTGCTCAATTTTTAACCTAGCTGATGAAACTGGGAAGGTCAACTTACGAGAGAACTATGAATGTCACTTAGCCAATAAAATAGTGGCTAGACATATGAAAAACAGTGACAAAGAATTCGCCTTGACAGATAAGACTTTACCATATTTGATTTAGACAACAATGATGGTGTCTGTTATGTATAGCATGAACAAATTGCTCAACGAGGTTCAAACGAATTTGCTAGTTGTTTGTAGACGTTTCAAAGTAGAAGAAGATAAAATTACTGATCTTCTATTCAGATAACTGTGGTGGGCAAAACAGAAACCACACCATATTTTCAATGTTCTCTCATGCAACTGTCTATTTCCAAGTTAGTATTATTCATAGATTTCTAGAAAAGGGTCACACCCAAAATGAGGGATACAGCATTCATGCTGTAATTGAAAACGTGAAAAAACGTCAGTTGGTCTTGTATGTTCCTGAATAATGGATTACTTTGATAAGAATGGCCAAAACTGTCGGAAAAGTATATAATGTAACATAAATATCACAAGAAGACTTCCTAGATTTTAAAAGTCTTTTTTGCAATAAAAATTGGAAAACTGACAATGGAAAAGGAATGATCAAATTCAGTCAAATAAAAGAAATAAGTACTTCGTATAACACACCAAATGTTATTTTTAAGTATGATTTAAGGGGGACGTCCATATTGTATTGATCAATTTCCATCTAAAGTTTACACAAATCTTTTGCCAATAGATAAGAAGAATTAAACTGGCTTATTTTGGCTTTGTGATACTGGAAAAATTCCTACTATATATCATGGCTTCTATAGAAGTCTTCATTCTGATACATCCGAAAAGTATGAAATGACGATAAAGAACTGCAATAACATATGTTTATAATATTTTGTAATTTAACTTCGATGTAGACCTTAATCATAAATACAACTTCACAGAACGATGGTATGTATTATTTATATTCCCGATTTTTTTCCAGCAAATACTGTACTAACTCATTCAAAATCCAGATAAAGAAACAAAATTGGCATGTTTAAAAGCACAAATGGAACAATACGGTATAAACGATGGATAAATATAAAAATAATTTAATAAATAAGAACCCCTGATTTTTTGCGCTAATCAAGACTTTATCTTGCTTTATTCAAAAAATAAGTACAGTCTTCGCTGGATAAGTCGAACTGTATTCCAGAATCTGCTTTTGTCAAATAAAAGGCTGTGATAATTTGACATTTTTGTTGTTTAGAATTATTTAGGTACATAATTTAACTTTTCATTTTCCATAGTTACTATTTGTTTGTGTTTACTATACCATTTTAATTGCTTTCCATTGGTAATTTTAGTAAGTGTATGCAAGCATTTTTTGACGGAAATTGTAGAGCTGCACACAGAGAAATGAAATGTTTATCCATAAATGTAAATACAACATTTTGTAAATCAAAATCTGAATGACCAATAGTTTGTTTAATAATAAATTCATTACTATCCCTAAGTTCAGCTAAACTTTCTGATAATATACTTACTTAAGACATCTGTTTTTTCCAAGGAGTTGATGGCTTTGTTTTTTTTTGCAAAACAAATGAGTCTATTTTTGTTGGAAACAAGTAGAATTCATATAGATTTCTGATAAGTAGGGCTTATGTCGCTATATTATACTAGTACTACCAAAATGTTTAAAATAAAACATTTCTACAAATAAGTATTAAGTAATAAGCACTTACGGGTAATTCCACATGGTTCTAGTGTATTCTGTATCCATAATAGAAAATACAGCTTCCACATCTCCACTGGGAAGTCTTTCAGGAGCTTTTTCTAAATTCCATCTAACAATTCTAGCAAACCCATGTTGAGGACCAAAACTCCAAGGTCCAAATTGAGCTTAAAACAGTAATTTCTTATCAGTCAAATCCTTACTCCATCAAAAACTTGTAACTTTATATTGCTTCCAAATTTTAAGTTATTGTATTTACAGGTATCAAAAGTATATATTTACAGACCACATAGTAACAATTACAATAAATTTAAATTAAAACTTACGAAAAACAAAAGGTATTCCTCCTCGGATTGCTTTTTTTCCATCAAAGACTGCTAGCTTACTGAAATGATATTTAATTGTTTTAATTTTAGGAAACTATAAAATTATCATTAATTACCTCACAAATAATTGTTCCTGATTGTTTACTCTCCAAGACACAACTGTAGCACCTAAAAATTTAATTTTAAACATAAAAAATGTTAGGTTATGTTGATGTTGTTGAGTGGTATAAATATTTTGAAAGATGATATAATGGAGATAACTTGAATATCAAACTTTTCATAAAATATCTTACCATGTAGATTAATAGTACAAGTGGTGTTGTTTCCTCTGTCTAACACTACTACACTAGTAGCTGCCATAGTCAAGTTTTTTTGCTAGCCTGATCCCGCCGGCCAAACTAAAAGATGCTTTGGTTAATGTTTTTAATAGTGTTCAACACTTAAAATCTCACTTTACGCGGTATTACCTGCGCGGACACACCACAGGTGTTAAGTCCCTCTGTCGGTAGTGAAAAAAATAATATAGAATCTAAAAACCAGATATGCTATCCCTAGCGTCGATTCAATGAAATCACAACACTAAGACAAGGCAGAAAGGCATCTAACGATCTAAATATGCAGAAGCTCAAACGACTAGTTTTTCATTCATATACAAAAAACGGATACAGGACTAGATGGCGGAATCGAATTTTTTGGCGCCATCTTGTAGGAAATAGTATACTCATTACAAGGTATTACAGAATTCTGTTGCAATAATTAATTTTTATGGCTTGAATACCTGTTCTATTTATATAATTATTTTTTGTTTAAGTTCCTACACAAAGATAACACTTTCGACAGTGCAAACTAATAAAATTAGATTTATGAAATTGCAACAGTATCCATTTTTAGTCCACAGATTTTAATTAATTTAATAATTATATTGTGTACCTATTAAAAATACAAAAACCTAATATTAAAAAAATCCCCGTAGCTTTTGAAAGATATGACGATAATATTAATCTTGATTGGTGTATTTAACATAAATAGGTACTGTAACATTATTCGAAGATATCATAAAAACGTTATAAAAAAAAGACAAAAAATATTATTAACGGTATTAACTTTAAAAAATAAAAATAGATATTAAAGGTAAGTTTGCCCATTCTGTTTTAACCGGGTTCTGGAAGCGAAATGCATTGTGAATGTTGCCCATATCACCGAACAACCCCATATGACATATGAAGAGTGATTCTGTGTTGAATCATGTCCCATACATGTTCAATCGGAACAATAGATTGAAGAATGGTATCGAGGCACGTCCTCTGTAGGTAAGTGTAGGCTTTCTGAACATGTCTCAAACGTCCTACAGTTCCCGGTCGTCTCTATATTCTTATTCGACGTGAATCTGACAATTCATAGGACTTGGTGTAGTCCAGTCTTGATATTGTCGAAAGTCGAATGAACTTAGACTCTAAATATTGAATTCGTAGAGGATTTCTTACACAAAAAAAAAACAAAAAACATAAAAAACGAAAAATACTAACAAAGTCCGGCGCAAACCACCAAAAAATTAACAAAAAAATAAAAAACCCGGGCACGTAGTGCCCAAACCCTTGAGCACCAATTCTCCGAACTGGGCGAAGGGAGGAGCGGAGGCTTGAGGGCCAAGCGAGCAATTTTGGTTTCGCGGATAACACTAGAGGATAACAGGAATAAAGCGCCTAACGCTAGCCTGAATTTTAATCGGTTGGGGAACCATGTTGCAGTTCTATTACCCAGGCCCAGGACTCCCACATTTGGCTTGTAGTGTGTCAATATCGGGCATCAGAGTGGTATAGAGGGAAAAGGAATGGTTTGAAGTATTGGAGCGCGGTGGAGAGATTTCTATTTTAAATATGTATTAATACACTTCGCTCCAATGAATTGTTATATTCGAACGTTATTCTAAGTGGTGGACAAGTATCACAGGCCAGGTTTAACCAAGTTGCTTGCTTGCTTGGATTTCTTACAATATTTCGACTTATAAATACTTTATGTTCCTGCTGTAAGTCGCTCAACAATGCTGTTCAGATGCTATAATTATGTAATTGTAGGTTATCTTATAGCAGTTGAAATTAAAACTAAAAATTGAGCTTCAGTTGTAGTTGTTGCTCAGCTGGACTTATAGTATCTCAAAAATGCCATCATAATCGACTTTGGAAAACTCAAATCAACTCGAAGAAGGCCTACAGCGCTATTCATTTCGTTCAAGGTAAATGATGTCGTTCTATCGTAAACAAAATATTTTTAACTTACCTATTAAAAAGGAACTGCAGGGTAAGGAAAGGTATATTGGTGATACAACTAATTTGGTGATCATTTTTAATCAGATTACCACACAGTTCCCTTTGTAAGCACATTCATGACACAGCGCTAGTAAGTTGCTATGAGTGTAAGCAGGACAAACATATCTTCCGATTTAGCGATGCGCGCACCTGCGTTTAGTAAACAGACTGTTTTGACCATTGTGCGATAGTTGAGTCATTTCTTATTGAAAGTGAAAGACTGTTACATATTTTTTTACATTTTTATTGGAATAATTGCTGTTTTTTTTATAAAACTTTATAAAACCATTTTTCTTCTTCATGTGCCCTGCTCGATTAATCGAGCGTTGGCTTTACAAATTGGCTATAGTAATTTTGTTGACGGCAGCTCGGAAAAGAAATGCGGAGGATCTGTTAAACCAATCTCTCAGGTTTCTAAGCCATGACGTTCTTCTTCGACCTGGCCCTCTTCTTCCGTTTACCTTGCCTTGTATTATTAAATGGAGTATATTATATATTTTGGCCATGTTATGCGCCACCCTCTCTGGGTGGCGCATAACATGGCCAAAATATTCAAGTCTGCGATTTTTAACTGTTTTGACGACTTCCGTAACTTTTCCCATCCAATACAAAACAACTTCGTTACGAACTCTATTTCAAAGGCTTCCAGTTTCTTGGGAAGTGTATCCGTCAAAGTCCAACCTTCGACACCATGCAAAAGAGTAGATAATACATAACATCTCACTAATCTAATTTTCAGACTTAAAGTAATATTGTTTCCACATAACAGTTTCTTCATTTTAAAGAATGCAGCTCTGGCCTTCTCTATCCGTATTCTAATTTCTTTGTTCATGTCCCAGTTCTCATTTAGATTACAACCAAGGTAAGTGATACTGTTAGTTCTCTCCAGTTGTTCACCATAAGCTGTTACCACTTCCGGTTGTATTGGCGTTTTACTGACGACCATCACCTTTGTCTTTGCGGTGTTTAGCTTAAGACCATATTCATCAATTGTTGTGGTAATCCTATTAATTAGATGTTAAAGTTCTTCGTAATTTCTTGCAATTAACACTGTATCGTCCTCATATCTCAAATTATTAATATTGACGCTATTCATTTTTATACCACATTGAACATAATCGGCTGCTTTATTGAAAACGAACTCAGAATAAATATGAAATAGTAGCGGGGACAAAATGCAGCCCTGCCTTACTCCTCTTCGTATTTGAAGATCTCTCAGAAGTGTCCCGGCCAATCCTGATGTTTGCACCTACCTGCTGATACATATATACAACACATATAAACTGTATGTCCGACATCTCTGCACCTCTGTACCATAACCTGAATAATAAATAGTGCTTCTCTTGTTCCAAGGTTATTGCGGAATCCAAACTGTGTGTCACCAAGTTGTTGTTCTATTTTTTGGTACATCCTAGAGTGCAAACTTTGTAGAAATATCTTTAAAACATGACTCATCAAGCTGATGGTTCGGTAGTCACTACATCTTTTTGCATTTGCTTTTTTAGGTATCGTCCCAAAAGGCGACAGCCGCCAATCCGTTGGTATATAGCCAGTTTCATAAATTTTATAAAACCATTCAATAAACTAATTATCAATAAAAAAAAGCTGCATTGAACTCGTGATTTAGCCAAGGTAAGTTTTTATTCCTTAAATTGCGGTTGTTGTTTCTTAGTGTTTTTGCACACATTTTTCAAGAACTTTTGCGACGTTAACTTTGGATATATTTTGTTCTTTTATTTAAAATAAAATAGAGAAGTGTAGTATATTATGCAAAAGGTACTATTTTGAGAAATCCGTAAATGTATTTTATTTTTAAAAGCTGTTAACTTTTTTTTATCACCAAATTACCTATACAAGATTTCGATATCACCAAATAACCTACTTAATTTTTACTTTTAGATTGGCAATGGAAAAAGAGGGTAAATATAGAAAAGATAATCAACAGCAACTTTAAAACGCTATCAGATTAGTAAGAAATGAAGTTAAGACTATATATAAAGCTGCAAAGGAAGTAAAAGTCCCATGGAGCACTTCGAAACGTTACCTAGCGAATGACGAGGATTCAATAAGAAAACTGGGGAGGCCTTTTGCATTGTCATGTGATTTAGAGTTGAGGCTTTACAATTATATTATAGAAATGCAAGAATTGGGTTTTGAACTAACCGTGTATCAAATTAGAAAATATGCTTATGATCTTGCTAAAGTGGATGGTCGGGAGAAATTCTTGCCGTCAACTAACTGCATTGCAAGCAAATGGTGGTGGAATAGTTTTAAAAGTAGGTACAACTTGTGCCTTGTGTGCCAGAAAATCTTTCGGCCTACAGAGCTTCCATGGGTAATGAATTTATGATCAAAGATTTCTTTTCGAAACTGAATGATGTTCTTACGAAACTCAATATAAAAAACAAACCGAATTTAATTTGGAATTGCGATGAGACTGGATTATCGTATGTAGTGAAACCTTCCAAAGTTGTTACCGGCATTGGTAAAAAGTATGTTTATAAAAGATCTTACGCTGAACGAGGTCAAATTCAAACTATGTTAGCATGCATTTGTGCTGATGGAACATGGATTCCTCCTATGGAAATCTTTAAAGGTGTTAGATGGAATAATACACTTAAAAATGATGCCCTTCCCAACGCATTAATAAAATTATCTCCTAAAGGATGGATCAATTCTGAATTGTTTTTGGAATGGTTAAATTTTTTTATCACTACGATACCGCCTGAACGTCCTGTAGTCTTATTGATGGACTCTCATTCTGCCCACATTAGAGCTGAAGTTTCAAAAATAGCGAAATATAATCAAGTTTGCCTATTAACTTTCCCAGCTCATTGCACTCTTTTATTGCAACCACTTGACGTGGGACTATTCACTTAAGACTTACTGGCGCGATAGCATGAATCGTTATATGAGCAATAACTCTACGGATGTCCAAATCGTAGCAACTTCCATTCCATTTTGAATCCAGCTTACATAAGCTCCTTTATAAAAAAAAAAACATTGAGAATGCTTTAAAAAAACAGGCATATGTCCTTTAAACGGAGATGTTATTCCAAAAGAAGTATTACGGCCTTCATCTTTAACTGACATAGCTCCTGCTTCTCCAGTTTCAACTGACGCAGCACCTGAAACTTCTATTTTAAATCCTAAAAACCCAAA